CAGCCATGCTGGCTGGGGAATTCTGGGAGGTGAAGTCCCCTCATCTTTAAGTGGCCCAGTTTGGACAACACTGGTATACTGGTTTCTATCTATCAGTGTCCACAGTGGGGGGGGGGGTCAAAAAAAGTCAAGATGGCAGTTGTGGCAGGGCAATCAAAGTCCTGCTCCTTTTGCCCATGTATGGATATTGCAGACATGTACATGAGGTGGAGACTCAATCATGCTGCCAGGATGGCCTCCTTCACTTTTTTGACAGACCTCCCCACTCCCCAGACATTGCTGTTCTGTACTCCCAAAAACCTTTCAACTAGGGGATAACAGTAAACTAAAATGTTGTTGCATTTTCATTCAACTTCACAGAATCACTGAACGGTCATTCTGCATAACTGGCTGCTGTTTTAAGGCTTATTTTCAAGTCTCCGTCGAGGAGAGCACACCTTTACTAATTTATTGAAACTGCCATTGGGTCTCCTCTTGGCAGTAATAAAGCGCCTTCGTATCTCACCTTTGCTTCTTCTCTGCTTAGTTGTAGTTGAACTTTGCCCTTTAGATTGCTGGGAGTTGCAACTTTACTGGGAGCACAGCTTTGTGCAGCAGACCCAGAATAACTTTTTAAAAGTTACTGACGGGTACAATATGTTATTCCACCTACTAGCCAAAGAGCATACATTGAATAAATCTATAGCTAAATGCATAAGATGGTTTGGATCTGCCATGAGGCCTGGTTGGAACGTAATAAGCCATAATGGGTTTGATTTGTTTTTGGTTTACTGTGATGAGAGAGATTAGGCTAGGGGTAGGGCACCGAATATTTCAGTATGTTACTGGGGAGAGGGAAGACACCTTTGTCTTTTCAGCCTGTACAAAATATCTCAAGAAACAAGCTATCAGACTTTGAGATGTCCTCCCAGAGGCCAGAGCCTATAGCTCAATTATCATGATGGGGCCACATAAACTCAATAAATTAGAAATCCAAGCCCAGATAGAATTAAAAAGAATGGAGCGGCAATTCCAGTAGGAGAAGGAAGAAAATGTTTAAAAATGGAGCTAGAACTAAAACAATTGGAGACAGAGAGAGAGCATAAACAGCATGCTTGTTAGAAAGGAAGAGACCTTCAACTGCAACCAATCCAACATGTCCAGCAGCTGTTCTGGTAAAGTACAAGTTCACAAAATGTAGGGAGAATGAGTATCCTGGCTACTTCCTGGATGGTTCTGAAAGGACTTGCTACACTTACGTGTTGGGGAAATTCAGTATATGCAGTTTTTGGAAACGTATTTATCTGGTTCCCTGTTGCCAGTGTCCTACAACGTGGTTAGGGGCATAATGCACTGTTTGCACTATTTGAAACCATGGTGAAATCCCAGTTAGAGTTAACACAAAAGTACCAGAAGGGGATTCAGTTCTCTATAATGGAGGGATTCTGTTCAAATTTACCACTCGGGTTAAATCTTATCCACTCTGCTGATTCTAATATTTGATTAGAAAGGCTTAACTGGTACTGATCCAATTGTAAACAAGATTAAACCTTTATTTCACTTCAGACAATTTATTTTTATTTAACTTTTTATCAGTGAAGCTGTACGCTTTCTGAATTTTTAAAATCTATAATTGTTTTTTGTTATGGCTTTCTCTTGATGGCTTATCTTTGGGGTCCTGCCTCTGCTAGCGGTGAGCCAAGTAGATAGATCCACTTCAGAAATCTCCTAATCAAAGTGCAGAGTAGTAAATTCTAAGACATAGACATAGATATATGATACGTAATCCTGGAGAAGGTCTACCTTTGGGGTCGCTAAGAGGAAATACCGACCTGATGGCGCATTTCCCAATATGGTGTTTTCAAATGTGGTGGATTTCAGGATTTCAACTCCTATAATTGCAAGCAGCATGGCCAGTACTAAAGCCCACCACGCCCAAAGGGATACCAGGTTAGGAAAGCTTGATACAATCTTGACCTACAACTGGCAACATAAATAACTGAACTGCAGTTTGGGAAGCACTACATCTGTGGCAAACACAGTTGGTCTTTCCTTAGGGGCCTACGCTGGCTGCTTTTCATCACATCTAAAACAGACCCTACATTGAGTGGATTCTTCTTTACACACAGATTCTCCTTAGCGGGAAAGCAAGATTTACATAGGTTCCCCATCAGACCACCATTATTTATTATTTATTCATTCATTCAATTTGTAGGCCGCCCATCTCAAATATATGACTCTAGGCAGCTAACAATGATTAAAAACCGAATAAAAATATAATAAATCAATAAATAACATATACGGCAGCCAAGACATGCATGCTGAATCACTGGGAGAATGATGTTCCAGAGGGCAGGTGCTATGACCAAAAAGGCTCTCTTCCTGGTTCTGCCAGATGACACTCCCTGATAGATGGGACCCGGAAGATTTCTCTACTGTTGGATTAACTTTTCTGTGCTGAAGAGGGCTGTTATTTTCTGCCACCATCTGCTTGTGGAGGGAGGGGGATAAATTTTGTGAGGATTGTGTCTTTGCTGGGTTTGGCTTTCTTAATGCATCACCATACAAGGCAGTGGCTGTTCCACTTTCCTGGTCATCCAGAGCTATCTCCGGTCATTTAACTTCCCTTTGGAGTCCTTGGGGTTCCCTGAGCTTGGCTGTTTTCTTGCAAACATTTCATTACCCGGCTAGGTAACATCTTCAGTGCTAGAATGGAATGGGGTTTGCCCTCTGTTTATATACAGTGGCTTGCCCTGCCAGTGTTGGTGGAGGTGGGGGTTTTGTTTTGTTTTCTTTTTCCCTCTTTGGTAGTTCCTTGATTAGGGTATTGTTTACTGCTGATTGTATGTCTGGTGATAATCTTGGTGTTAAGCTCGCTGTTTTCTTGCAAACATCTCATTACCCGGCTAGGTAACATCTTCAGTGCTAGAATGGAATGGGGTTTGCCCTCTGTTTATATACAGTGGCTTGCCCTGCCAGTGTTGGGGGAGGGGGGGGGTTTGTTTTGTTTTCTTTTTCCCTCTTTGGTAGTTCCTTGATTAGGGTATTGTTTACTGCTGATTGTATGTCTGGTGATAATCTTGGTGTTAAGCTCTGCTTCTCTGGGAGATGATTGCTGGTGAGATGTTCTGGTCTTTTGTTTTTCTTTTTATTGTCTCTTTTGAATAGTGTGTAGATGTTGTTTATCTCTATGTGCCTGTT